TTTCTATTCTCTGGGTACGTTCGATTTGCAAACATCTTACTTATATTCTTTAATTAAAGTTCAAAATGAATTACGTACATATACTTCCAGCCAAAATTCCAGAAGAGGGAAAACGAGGATTTATATTTTACCAAATGAAAACGTAGAAGATCAAAAGGTTCGCAAATATTTTTTTCAAGCTGTGTTGCAAGTGTCTGCTGGAAGACTCGACATACTTTTGACAAATAAGGCAGTAGGAGCACCTCCACCTTCCGATCGTCGTTGAAAGCATCCTACAGCCAATAAGACAACAACCGAAAAGGAGACTGAAGTAAAGCTATTTATTCAAAAGATTCCAAGCTATGAATCACATTATTGTAGAGAAAAAAGTAGCCACAGAAAATATTTATCACCCGATTTGAGTATGGGAAAACTCTATGAGCTGTATAAGATGGAAACGGAGAATCCTGTATCATATTACATTTTTGGTAGAATTTTTAATATTCATTTCAATTCAATCTACATTTTAATCCACCCATTAGTGATTCATGTGAGAAATGTGATTTATTCAATATACAAATTAAAGCTGCAAATGAGGAACATAAGATATAGCTAGAACATAAAAAGGAGTTATATCAAAGGAAAGACAAGAGTTTTAGAGATGGTCTAAATCGTGACACCGATATTAAAAAAAGTGGAGTTTCAGTTATATGTTTCGATTTGATGAAAACTCTACCCACACCAGTATTAACAACTGGAATTTGTTACTATAAAAGACAGTTGTGGACCTACTGCTTCAGTATTCACGATATGGGTACTAATAACCCGTATATGTTCACTTAAAATGAAACAGTGGCTTCAAGAGGATCTCAAGAAATAGGGTCTTGCATTTTGTATTACTTTAAAAATTTCGTCACTTTAAGAACAGTCATAATGTACTCCGATCAATGTTGCGGCTAAAACCATAATATCAAGATGTCAGTACTGTGAAATTATATTACTTGCTCTCCAGAATACACAGTGGATGAAATACATCATAAATGTTTGGTAAGTGGCTACTCTTATTTACCATGTGACCAAGATTTTGGTTTGATTGAGAAAGAAAAAAAGTTTCATCCCCATATTTTCGTACCTTCTGACTGGCACTCCGTAATACAAAATGCAAGAATAATTTACCCATATTATACCCCACTGGCAATGTGATTAATGATGCCAAAAAGAAAGACCTACTTCAACTGATGGAATGAATTCCTCCGGTGCATCATAATTTTTATAAAGTATTCAATCATCGACAGTTGCAACACGCGGACAACTGTTAACTGATAATGCATTGAATGAAGATGATGACTGAATTTAATTTTTTTTAGTTTGATGTAATATTAGTATTATCAATAAGTTTGAACAATAAAACTTCCTTATTTCATACTATTGCTTCACTGAATTTGGTACAACTGCAGTTCAGCAAAGTGGACTAACCCAAATTAAAATTGAAACAACTGTCGCTACTATACATTTTGCGGTACTAAATAATTATTATGCCTCATTTGATACATACTTAAATAAGTGGGAATAAAAATATTCCGAAACTAAATCATAAAGCTAAATGAAAATTTTGTTCCATTTTTAAACCCATTTATCTCCATTCATTCAATGTGGGCTTAGTCCACTGTGCTTCTACTAGCCTCAAATGGCAGTATACGAATTTACTATACTTCTCCAACAAGCTGCCTGGAATGCCACCTCAGAATCTAAAGCTATATAAATTAAACGAAACTGTTTTATCAATATTAGAAACAAGTTAAGGAGAAAAGGCGATTTAGGAAGATATGGCAAAACACAAGGCAGCAGCAAGATAAAATAGACTACAATAGAGCCGCAAGACAGCTAAAAAATACAATAGTACAACACAAGAACTCCTACGTTGAAAATTATCTGCTAAATTTAACATTAACAGCAGGTAACATTTGGAAAATATCTTGAAGAAGTCTTTCAAGCTCTAGCCTTTATTAAATGAAGGTATTTACGAAAGTCTAGCAACAATTCAACAGTCAGATGAGTAAATTAAGCCAGTTATAAAAATAAAGGTAAGAACTGTCGTTAAATATAAATTAAAAACCACAAAAGCCTAAGGTTATGACCTTATAACAGAAACTATTTAAAAATATTTACCAGAAAAAGAAATAGTTATAATAACACAACTTTTCAATGCCTCATTAAGGCTCACAATTGTACCAACTCAATGGCAAATTTCTAATATAATAATGATTCATAAACCTGGAGAACCACCTTACGAACATACCTCTTATCCTCCTATTAGTCTCTTACCGATAATTGTTAAACTGTTTAAGAACTTAATAAAGGCAAGATTTATGAAAAAAATAACTGAAAATTATCTTTTCTCGGATCATCAGTTTAGTTTGAGAGAGAAGCATTCAACAATAGAACCAGTACATAGAGTCGTTGATATAGTAAATACCACTTTAAGGAAAAAAATACTTCTCTCCACTCTTTCTTGTCAGATAGGCTTTTAATAAAGTCTGACATGAAGGGTTGCTCTTCAAAATAAAAATTAACGTTTCAGAAATATTTTTAATTAAGTATAGTACTAAACTACTTAACTTACTAAATAGTAAGTTAAGTCTTGTACTAAACTCATATGTAGAAGGAAGATACTACCGTGTTAAGTATGAATCAGAGACATCAAAAATTTATCTTATACGATCTGGAGTCCCTCAAGGTAGTATTCTGGGTCCTATAATATATTTGATATGTATACATGACGTACCCACAAGAAAATGTAAGGACTACGACATTCGCAGACGACATTGCTATGTTAGTCACAGATAATATTCCAGCAACAGCTACCGAATCACTTCAAAGTCATATAAGGAACATTGAAAAGTGGACATAGAGATAGAGTATAAAGATCAATGAATTTAAATCAGAACATATCATCTTTGCAAAATTTTGCCTAGTATAGAACTAAATAAAAAAGCAATTCTACAGGCTGAAAGCGTTAAATACTTTGGAATGTACAAAACTTTGATATGGAGGACCCATATATGAAAAAAGTGTCAACAGTTTAAATTAAACTTTCGTTCGTAAACATTATTGAATACTGGGCAAAACATCTAAGTTGTACATTCGTAACAAACTGTTGGTATACAATACAATACTCAAACCAGTCTAGACCTATGGGATTCAGCTGTGGTGTACAGCAGCAAAAATCTGTAACAGATGCCCAATGGTTCGTGTCAACCAGAGATATGTATTGTGATCTAGTAATATCTACGATCAGTAAAGTCATAATTTAGTGCAGTGCTGGGTACCTAAAACGTCTAGAAAACCATCCAAATACTCTGTTGATAGCATTCAACAAATTCAAAGACCAAACCGTAAAAAACCATTAGACCTGATTAACAAATAAGTGTTCTAATTACCGTAATTGTGTATATATTTTAGATATAATATGTACTGTTTTTAAATGTGAAGTGTATGTACATAGCAAATTATGGGAATGTCAATGTAAATTTGGAACCCCAAAGACACTTATTATTATAATGTTTATTACTAATAGATTGCTGATAATACGTTAAAAAGAGCAATATCTTATGCCAATTTTTTTAGAAATGTTTGTTTATGCCTAATTTAATTTAATGCCACTCTTCTCGTAATTAGCAATAGCCAAATCGACAAAAAGTTTACCAATTTTTTTTTTTTGAAAAATGTAAGTTTTTATTGAGCAATTTTTAATTTGGCATTTTACACAAATTACAAAATTTTTTGTTAAAATTTTAATCTAAAAAACATTCTTAAGATATATATTTATTTTCCTTAAATTTCAAAGCGTTTATTGTCAATTTTTTTCAAGATATTTTCGTTCTTTTGGCATCAGAAATAAGAATGACGAACCAATCTTAGCTTGCCGACAAACAATTCAAATTTTCGATTTCAAAAAACTATTAAAACGATTAAAATTGTATGTATATTATCCGGTAAATCGAAATAAATGCAAAAAATTAGATAAATAGTTTATAGGTTTATAGTGATACAAAATAGAATACAACAATCATTAGAAAAGTTTGTTCGAGAAAAGATTGTATTTACACTTTGATAATGGCTGTTATTTGAAAATGCATAACAATAATGAAAACTTTTGTTTCTGTAAATAAGCTGATATTAAATTTAAATAAAATTATAAAAATATAAGTAACTGATTAGTAAACATACTAATCAATAACAAAATATATGACCAATTAAAAAAATATTCGAACACTTCCGCTATCATAATTTTCTTATAGGAAAAAATGTATATTTAAATATTTTTAATTTTAATTTACTGATAATTACTAAAATCCTTTTATTACTACTATAAACAAGTAATAAAAATAATGATCATTACTATTTTTTATCTTATTATTACGATTAATTCCTAGTTAAAATTAACCCCCCCGATTTTCATTTTTAAAAAACTAATTAAATTCTTTAAATACTACTTAGAATAAAATAAAATAACTACTCTTAGTATATTTTAAATTAAAAAATAAGAACTTATTTAAAAGAAAAAAGTGCAGAATTTTAAATTTAACTTGAATAAACAACAAAATATACCTAAAACAATATTTAAAATAAATCAAAAAGAATTAGTTATTTATTTCTACACACATGTATAATATCTTTTTAAGGAAATAGCATTTTCTGTAATATATTTAATTATATCTAAGTAATATATTTATTTCCAAATCCTTATCATTAACTTTTAATTGATTATGGTATCATAAACTTGGTATAAGATTTATTGAATTTTAAAATAAAAAGTGATTAATAATATAATGAAAACATAAAAATAAATATAACGCAATTTTAATTCCACTTAATATTTGACTTTAGTTTTAATATTTTGGGACGAATTGAGAAAAATACTTGTTGAAATATTTTTACAGCTAAATTTTTATGAGTTTTGGGACTGAATATTTTGCAGCAAAATTTTAAAATGATTAATAAAGTAAACAAAAACTTACCATTGTAGAGTAAAGTAGTCCCGTGCGGCGATGTAGGCGGGGGGCTAGGTGCAGTGGCCCCCTCGGTGGGGCTGGACGGCCCCCAGCAAGAAGTCGCTGTAGCCGGCGAATCCCCGACCACATCAATTTCTTCGTCTTCTTCTTCCGGAGTATCTGTCCTCTCCGTCGGCCACGTATAAGCCTTGAATTTTTTTGCCATAAGACAGCGCGGCATTTCGCGTGATGTTATTTTTCTGTCCAGTGCAAGTCACTTCATTTTGACATTGTGATTATTTTTATTTTCGATTTTTTGTATGAATGGTTCACTCACGCACATGCACATCGGGTTAGAGAGAGAAAAGAGCGAAGATAGAGGAATAGAGAAAAGACAGCACAACAAACGGAACAAACTAAACTAAACGTCGCCCTCGTGATTTTGAAGCGCACCCTCACTGTGGCTTTGCTTTTATATAACAGAAGCGGTGGTGGTGGAAGACGGAGAACGATGAGATGGGGTAGAAATCACCCTCCACCATTCGTTCTGGCCTCGATGAAGAGAACTACTATTGCGCGCCCATCGTTTACTCCAGCCCTACGCGCATTAGGCCGGTTGTGCTATATTTTTTCCGTTTCTGGTTTTCGCTTTATCGGATTGTACTTTTTTTATACAAAATATATACAGGGTAGTATTAAGAAAACAACAAATTTATTCGCAAATTACAATTAGCTACTTAAATATGATTCTGTGTATAATATAATATTATTGTTTGAGATAATATTTTTTTATTATTGTTCTTTTGAACAGAGTTTCTGAAATTGTTTTTTTTGTGACACGTTTAAGTTAAAAAAATTATTTTGTATGGTATTATATCACAATTGACTGTAATGAAAATTACATTTTATATTTATTTTGACGTTTTAGTTTTAGCTCCTGAAATTGTTTTTAAAAATATACACTGTGTCCGTAAAGTATGGAACAAATTCTTTTTTAGCTAAACAGAGCATTTTAAAAATAATCCTGAAACACGTTGATTTTTGATTTTAATTTACTGTATTTTAAAATAAAAAAAAAGAGGTTAATCTTTGTAAATGGGTATATTTATTTAAAAAACCCTTAAAAGGGCCACATCAATAAAACAAACGTTTTCGGACCACACAGTCCATCATCAGGTTATTAAAATCGAAAATGCTAGGTCATAATGCCTGAGCCACCAAAATATTAGGGTAAAAACCCTTTAAATTACATTTAGTTATGAAATGTTGTACATTGTGATAAAAAATAACTGTGATGTTCAATATTAATATTATTGATGATGATATTAATATTGAACATCACAGTTATTTTATAACACAATGTACAACATTTCATAACTAAATGTAATTTAAAGGGTTTTTACCCTAATATTTTGGTGGCTCAGGCATTATGACCTAGCATTTTCGATTTTAATAACCTGATGATGGACTGTGTGGTCCGAAAACGTTTGTTTTATTGATGTGGCCCTTTTAAGGGTTTTTTAAATAAATATACCCATTTACAAAGATTAACCTCTTTTTGTTATACGTGGTATACAGCCAGCTACAGGAATTTTTCCTTGTGGATTTTGTATTTTAAAATAATATTCTAATATAAAGGTTGAAGTACTTTCGAGTAATGATGTCACCGTCATTTTTTTTAAATAGAACATCCCCATTTTATCTCAATTTTCGTATTACTCTAGCTGAGCTGATTCGAAAAATGTATCACATGTTGATTCAAATTGGTACAGGGTGGACAAAAATATAATAGTTTTGTGTATGCTCATTAAGAAACGCGTTAGTTAAATTAACAATATTATCAGAAATACTTATTGTCTAGCGGAGAGAATATGAAAGAAATTATTTCTTACCAATTTAAAAGAAACATAGTAGGCTATGTTTTTGTTAAATGTCATTATTTATTTAGTAATTTATTGATGTTCAGTGAGAGTTTATTACTACAATATTGTTGGTATTTGTGAATTTGTGTGGTTTTAATTATTGCTTAGATTTAATTTGAGAGGCTCTCTTTAGTATACAAGTGCTATTTCAACGATATAGAGACGTGAACTGCGACATTTATGCGTGCTTCATTGACTACCATAAAGCGTTCGATACAGTAAAGCACGACAAGCTGATGGAGATATTAACCAATATTGGAATAAACACCTGTGATTTAAGAATTGTCAGCAATCTGTACTGGAATCAAACATCATCTATCCGAACAGAAGCAGGAGAATCCGACGATATCAAAATCAAACGTGGGGTCCGTCAGGGATGTATACTATCACCGCTGCTGTTTAACAAGTACTCTGAGGAAATCTTTCAAGAAGCAGTAGGTGATGTTGAAGCCGGAATTCGAATCAACGGAGAATCTATCAATAACATTAGATACGCGGACGACACGGTAGTATTCGCTGACAGTTCTGAAACCCTCCAGGAGTTAATGAACAGAATCACAGAGGTTAGTCAGAGATACGGACTTTCACTAAACACTAAGAAAACAAAATGCATGATGATCTCTAAGAAGGAACAGCAATTTAGACAAATCAGTGTAAACGGTCAACAAATAGAAAGAGTAAAAACATACACCTACCTTGGTACGAACATCAATGAAAATTGGGACCATTCCATGGAAATCAAATGTAGAATAGGGAAAGCAAGATCTGCATTTCAAAAAATGGCCAAGTTAATCAAATGTCACGATTTATCAATGCCCATAAAAATCGGGTTACTACGATGTTACATCTTTCCTATACTGTTGTACGGAGTTGAGTCATGGACTCTCACAGACACCACCTGCAAGAAAATTAAGGCTCTTGAAACGTGGCTTTATCGTCGCATCTTGAAGATATCGTATACCGACCACGTTACTAATCAGGGTGTTCTGTTGAGAATGAAAAAAGAAAAAGAGCTGTTAACCACAATAAAAACAGCCAAAATCGAATACCTCGGTCACATCATGAGAAACAGCAAAAGATATGGACTGCTGCAACTAATCTTGCAGGGAAAAGTAGAAGGAAAACGGGGACCAGGAAGGCGAAGGATTTCCTGGCTGAAAAATCTACGAACGTGATTCAACACAACAACCACAAATCTTTTTAGAGCAACAGTGTGCAAAGTGCAGATTGTCATGATGGTCGCCAACATCCGAAACGGATAGACACTACAAGAAGAAGAAGAATTTGAAGTAAAAATAGAGTTAACTGTAAAGCAAAGATTTAAAATACTTATGATGATTGGGTGTGGAGACAGATCGCGAACTCAGATGAAAGTGTGCAATTTGTTTAATGATAAATATCCAGAAAGACATATACCGCGTTTAACAGTCAGTAAGATTTAAAAGAAATTTCGAGAAACTGCTACGGTTGAAAATGCGCGGAAATCAGGTCATCCCTCTGCAAATGCTGATACAGCATTAGATGGTTTACTTAGTTTTGAAGAAGATGCACACACTTCTGTGCGTAAAGTTAGTCGCGATATTGGTGTTAGCAAAACAACGGTACACAAAATATTAAAGCTTAAATAATGGCATCCTTATAGAATTAAACTTGTGCAAGAATTAAACGAAGATGATCCCGATAGAAGAATGTAATTTTGCGAAACAATGATGGATAACTGCCACCGAGACCCTCTCTTGGTACAATACAATATGTTTTCTGATGAGGCCACTTTCACGTTAAACGGCGAGGTTAACCGTCAGAATTGTAGACACTGGGCAAAAGAAAACCACCATTGGATGCATGAGCAATACTCGCAAAAGGTAAATGTATGGGCTGCAATTGTAAGAAATCGAATCATCAGACCCTACTTTATCGAAGGTAATTTAAACGTGGCAACGTACCTTGCGTTTTTAAGGGGGTATCTCGTACCTACTTTACGTAATTTGTTTCCCAGCAGACGTAATCCTGGTGGTTTTGATGAAAGTTTATGGTTGTAACAGGATGGTGCACCTCCACATTATGCTGTAGATGTAAGAAGGTACCTAGATGATTTTTTTCCGAACAGGTGGGTTGGTAGGCGTGGACCTATTGAACGGCCAGCGATGTCACCAGATTTCAATCCTTTGGATTATTTTATGTGGGGCCATCTGAAGAATGTTGTGTATCAAACGAAACCAGCAAATATTCAAGAATTACAACAGAGAATTCGGACAGCAATAAACAATATTTCTCAAGAAACAATAAATAAGGTTTAACAAGAATTTGTACAACGTTTGGGTTACTGTCAAATACAGCAAGGGCTACAGTTCGAACATTTATAAAGTCATGTATTTCATCATATTCTGTCCGCTAGACAATAAGTATTTTTGATAATATTGTTAATTTAACGAACACGTTACTTTATGAACACACACAAAACTATTGTATTTTTGTCCACACTGTACCAATTTGAATCAACCTGTGATACATTTTTGGAATCAGCTCAACTAGAGTAATCCGAAAATTGAGAAAAAATGGGGGTGTTCCATTTAAAAAAATGACGGTGACGTCATAACTCGAAAGTAATTCACCCATAGTCCCACTTGCCCAAGAGTTGAGTCATTGGCATGTAAGTAGAAACCGTTATAACTCAACTTTTGAGTCATCGGCAGTCAACGAGTTAATGATGCACAGATCTGTAAAGATTCCAAATTTCTGGGGGCTTTCTACAACCTGCCGTATGTTTATTATCTATTCTCCAATGTGCCATTTTAGGAAAAAGCCTGCACATTTAGAAAATGTACAATGAAAGAAAACAACAATGTTTATTAAATTCTAGAATTTCACAGCTTTCAGAATATACGGCACCTTTCTAAGTAACTTTTAAGTGGAAATATATGCAGATAGATTTTGTTGATATCTAGTTTTGCGATATTTACACACATACACATATCTGATGATAGGTAATTACCCTTAAATCGCCAGAATATGCTAGTGTTTACGATTCAACTAGAAATACTAAAATAAGACCCAAATATGTCAAAATTGAGTTACTACTTTTTTCACATCAGGTGTCTTATTGATGACAACCCCAAACGAAATGGTAAAATAATATTAAAATGTTCAATTTAAAGATTATCAATTCTACTTTCACTGTTCCAGTAAATGCTTTTTCGCTTTATTCTGATTAGGTAATTTTCATTACAGTACCTTTATTTAACAGTTTCAACGTATATTTATACTAGATTAGAGGAAACACGGCGTAAAATAACTTATGGGTTAAATTTATTTAAATTAC